CCGCCGCCGGGCTCCCGGCTTTGTGCCGGCCGCGCCGCCCCGAGAGCCCTGCCGTCCCCGCCCGGACGGCGGCCTCGCTCCGCCTAGCTTCGCGCGGGCCCTGGAAGTCGGGGCTCGCCGGGCAGGCCGGGGCCACCGCAGCGGCGAAGGCCCGAGGGGCACGTGGGGACGTCGCCCGAGCCGTGGGCACCCAGGAAAGGGAGAAGCCGACGTGGAACCCGACGTTCCCGCAGCGGCGGGGCCGGAGGAGCCGAGGACCCCCGGAAAGCTGAACCTGCCGCCTTTTGTGGGAAGTGGGCCTTGACGGAGCTCCCTGCCCGAAAGCGTTCCAAAAGGCCTACCCCACCCAGGAACTGCTTCCTATTCCAAAAGAAGAGCCCCCTTCCGTCCTGCACGCCTCTGCGCCCCAGCAGCCGCCCCTTCCCCTTGCTTGCCCCTCTGATGCTGCCAGGGTGCGGCCGCCCCTGAGGCCGTCGTGGGCCTGAGGCTTGCTGGTGGTAGTCGAAAATTTAAAGGCAGTAATTGGGACTTAGGCTGAACGACGTTGGCAGTAAAATGCGGTTGTGCTGGTGGTGCGCTGGTGCCTGCAACATTACCCTCGCCACGGCCAGGAAACTGCCATGTCTCCCTAAGCACCTATAACCTGGCCCCGGTGTAGGGCAGTGTTTCGTATTATTACACGTGGTGCTGGGTTTTAATGAAGATTATAAAACTTTGGCTGGCTCTGCTGAGAGAACGATCGTAAACCCCCCCTGTAAAATGGGCGCTGGTATAGGCTGAGGAAGCGTCGCCCTGGGAGGCTTGTGATGCCGTCCACAGGGCTGCCCCAGCGCTCTTTTCAGTGGCTCCATTTGGACCCTCTGTGTAAAACTAAGCAATGGCTCCCTGCAGGAGGACTGGGCCTGAGCTGCTTTTTCTAACTGCTGTCCTGCCTTCATGGGTACCTGGACTCGAACTTTCTCTGCTAACCTGGCTTTCGGGTTAGCAAAGAGTCAGAGCTTTCGGTCTCTTGGTTCCTGACCTGTCCGCCTTGAAGCAAATGCGGTGTATCCAAGATCCAACGCAACCTCCAGCCAGGGCAGAACGCTGATCCTGGCCTGCACTGCCTGATGGTTTCTTACAGCCATGGGTGGTCCTCATTCTTCCAAACACGGATTGGTTAAAAAGCTTTATGCCTTTTAATAGCATCAATAAATGTTTCCTTCACACGCCGCCCGAGCCAAGCTGCAGAACCTTCCCGATGGGAATGTTTAAAGGCATTTCTTATCAAGTGTCCCTGTCTGCTAGGTTGGGTAGTGTGGCTGGGACGCCAGTGTCAGGAAGGCAAGCAGGGGCCACTGCAGCAAAGCATTTTATCCCCTGCTCTCTAGGTTCAGAGGGTGACCACAGTGGCTACTAGGTGCTTCTCTTTAGTCTGCCTGCCCAAAGACGGAAAATGAAAATTAAAAGCAAACCAAAGCTGCAAGAGGGTGCAGGGGTAATTCATTTGCAGAGGGTGTCCTCTGCAGCCTTAGCTTTGTATCTTCTATGGCTGTGAAGAAGACAAGATCTTTGTGTTTGGGGTTAGTTGTTCTACTCTTTTGTTTTCAGGAGTTAAAGGTAGTCCTTTGAATTAAACGCCAGATGCCACACTCACGAACAGGCAAGACATAGTAATGGCGAAGCAAGTGCTTTCCCCAGGCGCTGCGGAGGTCAGGCTGTCAGCAGCCGCAGCACCTTCACCCTGCCTGCCGGCCAGTCTCTGGGTTGTGCCCTTTCGCTATTTACAATGGGAAACAGATGCAGGATTTTGTTTCTCCCTGTGTGTGTCTGCCAGTAATCTGAGTAGAGGTCCATTTATTTTCCATGCCTGGAACATTCAACCATTTTGGATAAACTTCTTCTACCTCCACAATTACCTATGTATGTGTTTGACCCTGAAAATGATTTTTTTTTCTAAGCATGATATGATTGAAAAAGAAAAAAAATGAGATATTTACCAAGCAAAGGACTGAGGAGGGCATTTTGTGGGGCTTGATGGTGTTAAGACATTATGGCAAACCAGGAGGGACAATTTTAAGTGCATACCTTGAATGAGGCAGAAAGAAGTGGGAAGCTAAGAACAGAGCACCAAGTCTGAAGCCAGGAGGAGCCACGTTAGCTAAGGGAGCTCTGCTTGGAAGAGCGCAGTCCTCCTGAGGCAAGCGCCTCTGAATTACAGCCACCCTTATTCTTCCAAAACCAGAATTAGGACATGAGTCTAAGTGGTAAAACCTTACCTGAGCAATGCACAGGTGACACTTGGGAGAATGGTGGCATTTCAGGAGGTGGAGATGTGATTGGTTCAGCAGTGGCTAAACCACCCGTTAAGTGGAACCAAGCATCCTGATCAGACTGGGATGGGGACAGAGAAAGACAAGGAGCCAAGCTCCATGCTTGTAGTCAGATTGTATGATACAATGCCAGGGGCTGAAGGAAACGCTGAGTGATGGGGTTGGTGCTACTCTTAGGTTAGATGATTGCGTCAGATAAACCTCCTAAGCGAGGGAACCCTCAAGGGGAGATGTGAATGCAGCAAGACAGTGATCCCTTCAGCTGTCCTGCGAGAAAAGCTTCTGGATTTCAAGGGTGATTTGAAGGTCTTTGGGTGTAGCAGACTTAGCGCACTTCCGTGGAAAAAAGCACCCAATGAGCCACAGAGCCTGGGTACAGAAAGGAGAGTAGCAGGCATGAGAGCCAGGGGGCCACCAGCAGACTTTCACAGGAGGTGAGGTCTCAGGGTCAGGACCAGCCTTTGGTGTCTTATTTTCTGATCTGTTTCCCTTGGAGCAAACACTCATGGGGAAGTTCCTGCCCACCTCCCAGCGAGGAGAGAATATGGATCCTGGCATGTTGAAGCCAAGTGGAGAGACCTGTACAAGAGGTCTGTAGAGGACAAACACAACTGGCCTGGGCTCTGAAGGGTCGTTCTGTTTGCTAGACAGAAGGAAGTCAAGAATGGAGGCAGAGAGAGCAGGTGGGAGGCGGTTGGGGTGGGGAAGGGACTAGAATCATGGCCACAGCCAGAATCTAGACATGTACAAAGGAATCAGACAGGCTCTACTGAGGATCCCACTGTGGACTATGAAAGAAAAGCACTCAGGACATTCTGGATTTGCAGCTTAGCCAATGGAGAGTCTATTTCGTGAGGAAGCTACTGGAGGACTGGGTAGGGACAGGAGGAAAACTCGAGCAGCTGGTTCCCACTGACAGGCAGCTCAGTGGAGAAATGAGAAAGCAGCAAGATAGAGGCATTAAAACTGAGGAGAGATGTCGTGTGTGTGTGTGTGTGTGTGTGTGTGTGTGTGTGTGTGTGTGTGTG